TATGCGAGAAGTAAGCGATGCCAGGCAACAAACGGTGCAGTTAAGAGCCTCAGCAACCTCTGCAGCTCTCACTCGTATTTCCTCACAGAAATATAAAGTTTCCGCAAGTCTCACAGCATCCACGGCTGGTGCGCCAGTTTGCTCGTTTAGCCCCCATTAGCACAAAGAGGAGACACAAGGAAGCAACGGAGACAAGAAAATGACGACGTCGAGAAACTGCAGCATGCTACCTCGAGGATGTTAGAGTTGGCGCCTGAAAGCGATTCCGAGCCGACTTCTTCGTGATCAAACGCCACAGCCATCAAAATGTCGCTCTTGCTTTGCTTCGCCTCCACCAGCGCCTCAAAGGCGGCGAATGTCGATGCCAAGTTGTCTAGCCGGGGGCTTTCGATGAACTCTGAGTGAATGCCCGACAGGCGGCTAGGCGTGGCGTCCATAAGACAGAAATCCCAATCCAGCAGTTTTGCGCCAGGAACCTCAATAGTTCTACAAGGCAAAGCACAAGAACAAATAGTAACTTGGGAGTTCGTTCCAGGCAGATACGGCCTCACTGAGGGGCACGCGGCTCTACGAGCTGTACTTAGGACGGTATCCCGACCAAGGACAGCAGACATGATGAGAGAGCATAAGTTGACCGCGATACGGCAACGAAAGAACACTCTTATGCCATCAACAGCTTCACAGCCTGAACACCCCTGAGCTGAACCAGGAAGTTCGCGCATCCAAGTGAAAACTGTTCGCCCGATTGCACCAAAGAGACCGAAAGTTGCTCTCACTGCCTGACTAGACGTTCTAGCGCTGGTGGCAAGCGTTGGGCCGCATCCTTATTCTCTTGCTTTTCGTCCTCGTTGCCCTGGCTCAGCTGCTCGGCTATGGCGGAACACAATATTGGTTGTAGGTGTTGCTCCTGCGGAAATGAACGACTTTACGGTATCTGGTTTCATGTATGTATCTTGGGCACTGTGCAGCCAAAAGAAGCAGAGAGCGTGCCACCCGTCAAATTAAAAGGGGATTTTGTATTGCAAACACAGGCTTGTCATGCTCCTCTGTTCTGAGGCACTCTTCTCCACCCCACGCCTAAAAATTGCAAAGGCTTCCGTCGTAAGACCTGAGCCTGACAGTATATTTGGTACTGCCAGGAACTGATCTGTTCTACTGAGGCGGTGAACGTCTAGGCTTTTTAATACACAGCAGACCAATTTTTGCTGAAGAGCCGTGGAGCGATTCACAAAGACAAAGCGAGATAAGAAGAATTGCCATGGAGTGGACCCTAGTGCTCACTTTGTTGATTTTGAAGGCCCCAATTTCCTCGGCTGTTTTCAAGTGTATAGCGAGGTTCGGCACGTAAAACAGAGGCTTTGAGATGCGCAGCAGCCTCTCCTCCACTTTATCCCCTGCAAGGCCACCCAAAGTAGAACCTCGATACACGTGTTAGCTTACATGCGGCCACTTACGACATTTTTGGTCCAGAGTAGTACTTTATACGTGCGTTCAACAGCACGGCAGGATAGTCCTTACCAACGCGAAGAGCAACCTTCCCAGCCATGCCAAGTCCCC